CCGATAAGAACTTTTCTATTGTCTGCCTGATGTCATATAAAAAGGACAACGTGTGTAAGTGAAAGTTTCGGAAAGAAAGCCCTACCCGGAACTACTTGAGGTTCGGATGCAAGTGTATACGTTTTAAGCGTCAAATGGTCCATCCTTACTATGAAACAGTTCTAAGTTATGCATGTTAAAATCATATAATATTACTTCTATTGAACCACACTTAAGGTGAACTCATCTTCCGAAAAAGTGGAAATGTATACACTGAGTCACGACAAATTGATCGTTTAATTTAGAAACGCCATGTTACAAGATTATCGACTGTTCCTTAAGCCACTAAAATAAGGCCAGCGAAGAAAGTATTTCAAAGCATAGACTCTAACTCGAACCATTTCGCTGTGTCCAAAAATTGCTTTGGAAATGATCTTTCATCTATTTTCAGTCTGAATAGCAACTACGAAAACGCTTTAAGATCACGCATGGCCATCAGAGCGAATAAAGTCAGGCTGTTGCTTTTAGCACACGTACACAGCAGGCATCCACCTCTCTACGAACTATCGCGTACGAACTCCGAAGCACAACTTAGCGGCGATTCAGGTGACAACTGGTCAGCAACAGATATTACTATTATCGACATTATTAACTTTCCATTTTCACCTTCCAACACATTGCTAGGTAATAACTGTTGCTAAGACTGACATACGGAACATATTAATATATAGAAATGGAGAGACGGAAAGACAGGCTGACTCGGTAATCCAGCAACCGATGGCTTCGCGACCTAAGGTCGGAAGAGAAGTCCGTACGAAAATGGCCGTTTTCACACGTAACAGCTCAACTTCGATTATTGCCTATGACATCCCGCGGCTGGATACTCACCTGACGGACTTTCTCCAGCAATCATACTGTCAGTGTTCAGGCAGCTGGAGAGACGACGGCACAACTGATGCATCTTTCAACTTTGTTGAACGAACAACAATCAATGATGGAAAGATAACCAAATCCCAAAGGAAAGGTCTTGACCATGACGCATCTAATTATTTTCATTTTTTTCTTTGGTCAGACAAGACATGCCCTATACCAACAAGAAGCTACCACAGCTTAACTGTTACACCTCTTGCTAATGAAGTGCACCAAACCAAGAGATCTACGGGTCAACCAGGAAGTCAAAAAGTAGGTCCATGTTTCATTTCCTCTATTGTAGCGTTAATACAATATAGCGTTAGTAGAATATAGAAGTGTAGAAGCCAACTGGAGAGGTTAAACAAGGTTTTGAGGTAAATTTTAGAGCAAGGCCCGAGCGTCCAGTGCATCAGCGTATGCTCAATTGAGCCGTCATTTGGCTTGGAGATCAACGAAGGACAGGCTCTCCTACATCTTATGCCTCTTCCTGGTGACGTGAACCAATGCTGCTAACGGTACGATCTAGCGAGTGAAGAAGAGCAGCACATCTAGTATAACGAGTAAGTGCAAATGAAAACTCAAAGGCCTTCCCAACAGGCCAGGGTGGCAGCTCAGCGGAGGGAGAGGGGCAGGGAAGCACGGTTGTACCATGGCAGCCCAGAATCAACCAATGTTCAACAGCAAATTCATCTGATAAAAGCATCGCTGCGCTCGGTCTGACCGGCTGAGGCAGGGTAGGGTCCGGTGGACTGGTGCCCTCGATCCAATGCTGCTGGTAGCCCGTTTTTCTCGCACTGAATTCCTACGAGTTTTTCCCTTACTACGTTTCGTTTTTCTTCTGCCGCTTTTGTCGTTTCCCCTGAAGAGAAATCAAGAGGCGGGAAGACGAAAGAATCCCAAATACGGAATCGAACGCAGAAAAACGACGTTGTGAGTCATATACAGGGAAAGAGTCAGCAGGCAAAAGGGAGAGTATGACAGGTCGTCTGAGCCGAAACCCGACGCCAAGGGATTCGTTTTCCGGTAAAAAAAAGCGAGGAAAACAGGAAAAGGAATGGAAAAATAAGAAAAAAAAACCTGCGAACAGCGCAGGGGAAACCCATTGGCTGATTGGCTACAGCGTTTAAATATCTAACATACGAACATCTAACAGAGATGTTACCGGTATGCCTAACGAAACAACATCGTAAACAGACTTTAATTTAATAGGGCAAGTGCGTTCAAAGTATCGAAAAATTTGTGAACACCTTTTATATGAAGTCCGTATGAGTTGATCAAATGTGTAACGGTAATTACACAGTAACTCAGCCGTAGGCGACATCCTAAATTATGAAACTCGTATATTACCTTGCTAAATCCGTAAAAAATAGTAATCAATGGAATAAATAATAATAATATTCTACTAAGTAACGCTGAGTTGGCGACTCAGCTTAGCTCTACATAACTATATCTAACTGCCTAAATCGTCGACCTGCTTCATGTGTGTTATAGTAAAAAATCACAGTATAGCGGGGATATTTTTTTTTATCGAAAGATAGGTTTAATTAGCGATTCTATAACGAGCATCTATCATCCACACGATCGTTATATATTTTAGGTACTTCGGAAAGAAGTATACGTATGGGAACACTGTGACGACTTACCCTGCGGAGAAGCAACTTTTAGAAGTAACACTAACAATCAAATCCATGTCTTAATCGTCTTCGCCTATTATCTCCATAGGACGAAACATTTGCTTTTGTCGCAACGCCCAATCGTAATTCCCATTACACCCATTGGATACGATGTCTAACAGCCCTTGAAGAATTGCGAGCCGTTATGGGGCGTTAGTATAGTCTGTCTTTTTGGATGTAGGTTAGACTTGTGTTAGCTGCAGTGCTGTCATCCTATAGGAATGGCAAACCGGCCGTATGAAGGAAAGACGTTCGGCGATGATCCGTGAAATGAACGATGTCTCCGCACTCGTCCCATCACTCGCCTTCAGCGTACGCCTCCGTTGCGAAGTCCCGATCATCCCTGTAACCGTCCGCCTGTTCCACACTGCCGTCTCTTTTCTTATCTGCAAACTTACGCGCCGGCCTCGTAATCACTTCTAACCAACCAAGCAAACTGTTCTTTTGCCCGTAACTCAACATAGGGTCTAGACCTAAATGCTCCTTTTCTTCGGGAAATGATCTGCTTTTGGTCTCCTACAACCTGATCTCATCTCTAGATCCTGTCATTTCTTTCGTGGTTCGGCTTTGGCAATCTTCCTTGCTGCCAACCTTACTTAGCATTTTGGCTACATCGGGATTCCTACACGGGGCCGCCTCTCGACTTTCTAACCACAAACGCTTTCGTTCATCCTTTGAGTTCCTGACTTCTGCCCTTTCTCGATTTCCCTACATCTAAACAGAGCTGATTTTAGACCTCGGATCTGCGGAAATCGCGATGTGCGCGCTCTCGCTTCAATGCAATCTACGTTTAGGTACGCCACGAAGCTAAGCGGTTTCTATGTCGCATGTTTAGCGATCGGTTTCACTTGAGGCTACTTTAGGGTCTCACGGTCACAACTAAAGCTCTGGCCCGAATAAACCTCAAAGCATTTAGTCTCTTTGAAGTTAAGCGCCCTTCCCTGCTCCTGACTCCGTCATCAACGCGAAGCAAAGCAATTTAGCACCGCAGTAATCTGGGTCAACGGCACGACCTTTCACCGGTGAGATCGGCTGTGGTAGACTTCCTTTGTGGGTAGCGGAGGGCAATTTAATAGAGTTTTAATAGTTAGGATTGGTCGGAAGACGGAAGACTCGTGGCTTTCCTACCAGTGATCGATTCACGCTGAGCCATATCTCGGTTAACGCTGCCTGTAGTCCTAAAATCAACGAGTGCCCACGTGGCGTAATCCTGATTCAACACCACATTCAGCCGTGGATAAACGGTTCACCAATAATTTGAAGTTATGAGGGATCGGGCAATCACAACCACATAGTGATTGACAAAATTAGCTTTTGGTGGACTAATGAATGTCCCCGAGAGAATTTCATACCAGAAACTGTCAGTGGGTTGTCAGACAACGCGCATTGACCCTTAACTTTGTTAGGTGATACGTTTCTATTTAAACATACTGGAATTCCCCTGTGATCTGTACAATTTTAAAATGTAATATGTTAACTATTTTGCATATGGCGATTATTAGAGCGCTACAGAGTCTTACAGGATTTTACTGCTACAGAAACGTACTTCACTGCTTTGGTCGACTACGTAACCTAACTCTTTGTGAACTATAAACTGTTTAAGAATCACAAACACCTTTGGCTTCTGCGCTATGCACATGCTTCTACAGCAAAAAAAAGGAAAGAACTTTGGATTGCGTTTGTGTTTATTACTACTAGCTGTGGTAGAGCTTATGCCGTACACAAGAACTTAGCCATTACGTAAGCTACTTCCACCGCCAAATCTTGGCCGTACTTGCTAGCAACCCCGAACACGTTAGCGTACGAATAGGCAATCGGTAGCACAACTTCGGTACTCCAAACTTTCGACAAACTCTACATCTCTGACATAACGTCGAAGCGGTCCATTTAAGCTCATATTCCGCCGTCAGTCATACGTAAAATATATTTCGTTTTATTTCGAGAATCAAATCGACGTAACGGCTTAATATGCCCAACGTTATTTTCAGTTGATAGTCAGAACATGCATGTTCTGATTAAGAGCTAAGATCTCCTCTAGGCCGGTAAATCATGATGGATGTCCCACTACTTGCTTACGGGCGATTCTTTGGGTCGTCTTGCGGAGTCCCTGGGTTTCTTCTTGTTGCACCACCAATAGAATGTTCCTACAAGCACGATTATTGCACCTGCTGCTACAATTCCAATATTACGATGAGCACACTTATGTCGCATGATGAACTGTCTAGCGCTTGGTGGAATTAACTTCATTGTTTTGTGGGCGATGCTGAAGCGTTTGCTTCGACCGCGAATGTTTTTCTAGCGAATTCCAAAATAACAGCGTTTCCCTCGTGACGATAGCTAGCTTTATCAGATGATTCATTCATTTAGATATTATATACGTCTGTTTTGTTGTAGCTATATATCTAAATATCCATAATTTTTGGACATTTTAAACGAGCTCACGCTTGAGTGCGGAACGATCTTAAAAGCTATGTTGTCATATAACGTATATTCTGTATCTGACGTCAGTGTCATTCAATACAGTATGCTCCTATACATCGCAGCCTAATGGTAAGCAGTAAGCAAACATTTCATTTACGGTATAATAGTATATAATAATTTTTGTTTTCGTCGTATCTGCTATCGTTTACTCACAGATTCCGTCCCTATACGTATACTTACATCAGATAGTAGCTCTAAAAAATTAACTAGCTATATATATGTATGTAATTGTTTAGAGATAACTATCTGGTGTTTCAAATCACGCTGAAATGGGTATGCGTATAGTGACAGAATAGGTTCCCTAAATAAATAATCGATACTATTTATAAGTCTACTCCAAGTGATCGGACCGTACACTGACGTAGAAATGAGCCAATGACGAAATAGAGGAGATAATGATATAATATATGTATAATCAGCCACCGTTATTACTATCATGTGACTAATTGGTGTTTAGAAGAGTTTTTCCACCAAGCATAGAAAGTGTGAAGTTCAATTATTCCGCTCGTTGTAATACCAGCCCCAAACTTCATTCCACCCCAAATTCGTTGACACCACGTTCAGTTTTAGCATTTATTTTCTTTAATACAACATGAGGGAACGTGCAGGCCGTGTCAGCGACGCAGCCTCTAGTACATGGCCGTGTTCTCCGATGATCAACAGTCAGGAAACAGACGTGCGCCGGACCAACTATCAGATCTGGTAACTTCAAGCACATGTGAAGTGAGCATTAAGTACACGTTACCTGAAAATTCGACCACTGGCTCGTTGTGCTGTCACCCAGCTAACTGTAACTTACCCTCTAAGCTAATATGTTCATATTTAGAAAGCCTTTAATATACGCGTCTATTTATATACATTCTCTCATGTTTACGTGGAGTGTTTGCATTGCATAGGAAATAAACTTAGATTTTTATCAAATTCATTGTCTATAGTGTATGTATACATATATATCTGGCAGCATCGATGGGAGAACAATTTATGAAAGGAATTTCTACCTTTCGACATGTGTACATGGTGCAGAATCGATCGTCTGAACAAACGGCAGATTAATCAGACTCTATCAGCAATCAGTATTCAATCAGAATTAACCTACGTTGTAGTGACATCAATCAATAATGTGTGCTTTAAACTGAATTATGATACGTACCATATATATCGGCTCGTTTCGTCGTTTTCCACATATTGTGACAATGTGCTGTGCTTACATACGAATCACTTTGTAGCCAAACGTTTTCGATAGCCTAATGAATAAAGTAAGCTTCCAGTTTTTTTGCGCCACTGGCATCATCCCGATATCCTTCTTTATTTCCCCAATCCACGCTGCGCACTCGGATAGACTAAACAGTAAAGCTAGTGACTATACGTTAGCCATCAGAAATCCTTCATATTTCGACTATTTTCACCCGAGTTCAATTAACAGTTTTAATCCCAGCGAAAAAAATTACCTACAAAGGGTAACATTTGGTCGCTCGTTGAAAACAAAATTGTTATTTCTATACATTAGAAACATTTTTAAGCAGGCTTACTGTGGGAGCGTATTAAATGCGCCGCTTTGTCACGTACTTTATTATTAGTTATCTAGCAAGTAGCTCACGCTGCATCGAAGGTCAGAACGAGCGACGGTATTTGAGCCTTTTCTTATTGCAATTTTTTATATATACACAGCAGACCTAGAGAATTTACTTGTCGAAATGTGTTTTTCGCACTGAACTAATTGATTGTATATGCAGGTGGTCCTTACAAGAAGTGCACAGACTTTGATTAGCCTTAACTTTACCAGTATTACCGTAGGAGAAAAAGGTGAGAAATAACGTCGGTCACAATACATCTGCACCATTCGTGACTTTTTGGTAAGCAGTTAACCTTACTAGCGGTTTGGCTGTAAGCCACGATCTGATCAGATGAGTCATACTTAAAATATGCAGGTTTCTCTTTCAAGTAATTGTTATCTAATTCTAGTAAGACATCCTGACCATACCATACAAACGACCAAAATCTATTTAATAACGATTTCCTAAAAGCTAAAACTAAGTCTTCACTTCGATAGCCTGGACCCTGCACATCTATTGCATTAATACGCGAGTAATAATGTAATAACGTGTGTAATATACGCTTTTGGGTAGAGCACTAGATAGACATTGGAATTCGACGTCAGATGGCGAAGATATGAGGGGAGAGATCGGGGGTGAGGGGAAGGTTAGTAGTCCTGGCATGCTATTTGCGGGCGACCAGACTTTCTCCTTCCATCTCCCTTACTTCTCCGTTCGTTAGCTTTGAAAACAGCAAGCATTAGGTTTGCCCACCGGGTTGGAGAATGATCGCTCGCTGGCCTTCTCAGCGATACTATAAATTTAGCAAGATCTTCCCAACCACAAGACAGCAGTGTAGAGTCATAGAAGCCGCTTCTGGGGCTAACGCCGATACGCTGCCGAGCATACCATGTAACTTGGTCCGCATTTTCCGCAATGTCGGGTTATCCCTGTCTCCGTGCAGCTTTCCCTTCAAGTCTCATGCTACGCCACAACGAGGGTCCTTCTCTCTTGTCGTTGTCCCGTTTCCATTACTAAACTCGTACTGCTACAGAGGTTTCAACCGCTGCAAAGCTTTCTTGATGAAGTCAGATTCCACTTTAATGAGAGCAGCCAACGAATTCCAGGCGGCTGGTGACGGTTCGCGGCCAGCGCCCCATAGAGGCTCTGCGTTGATCGTGCTGGCGGACGTTGCTATTGCTGTTCGGCGCCCCTGCACGTCCACGACGTCCCCTTCTCCGGCTGCTTTCTTGGCTTTTTCGCCCTCTTTGCCTCGTCTTTGTCGATGAGTGTATTCCCTCTCTATCTGTGTGATGCTGCGTTGTCCCATGCGACAAACCGCCAGTAAAAGATAGAAACAGGAGAATACGAAATTGGAACAAGGGTCGAACTTCGGAAAAAATCCTCTGCCGTCACCAGCATCCGCGCCCCCCGGCGCTCCATTCGACCGCCAGATGACGAAGGCTAAGGAGCCAGACCAGCACAGAAATACTTTTATTTTTATATACATAAAGAAGTACGAGTAGTCCCTATACGTGGGCGATGAGGCGAGTGAAATGATTATGCTTAACAAATCGCCAGACAATAGATGATCCCTTAGAAATACCTATAACGTTTCAACTAATTTGTGCATATACATTGAACGTAAATAGTCTGGTGTCTGTAATGTCATTATGGGATCTTTAGTTAAAATTTCGTTTCGAAGTGGAAGTAATGAGTCGGTCTATGACTTATTTGAATGTAAGAAAAAAATATACGCGTAGACTTCTCATATTTAAATGAGCTTATTTAAAGTTATCTTTTTGAACGCAAAATGACTGCGAAGCACAGGCAATCGAATAGTATTGTTGCATGGCGGATAGCCGATGAATGAAGCTGGTAATTAGGCGCCGCTTTCTTTTAGTATTTTTATAGAAACTTCAGTCTACTTTTCTTAGCCAATATCCTTTCTTAGCAATCAATTTAATACTAACGTTTACTTATAACATATTATGCAGTCGTTTTACTGCAAGACATCTCAAAAATGCTTGACGCAGTTATCTAAGAAAATTCTAATACTATTGCACAGTTTTATAAATTAGTTCACACGGATATCTCTTTTATTTATTATAATATAATAATGGCATGACATAACAGGATGTGACAATCATCCAGTCTCGCAGTATTCTGGACCAGTACGCGAAGGTCATCGTGGCTGACACCGGCCAAGCGCTGCGGCCGCCGGTTTCAAAAGCTATGTTCGCATGCAAACATGTGCGAGGCAGGCACTCGTCCACTCGTACTCACACGCACAACGAATGGGGTACACCCCAAATGGGGCAGCCACGCTATTATATACACTGGGCGGAAGAGATGTGTCACGCACAAATTATACGCGGAAGCGACAGGGATTTGGCACCGAGGCTCGCATCCAAGCGGAAGGCTTCCGGCCGTACCGCACATCGAGACTTCCCCGGAGTCACTCGCACGCTTACCACGACCAGAATTAACTTCCGTGCCCAGTGAGCCAACGGAAACCTCGGCAACTCTCGGCCTTCGACCGAAGCAAGTAGGCATTCAGAAAGACGGACGGACAAGAATAAAAGAAAAAGCGAAACAGGAAGAGAGCATAAGGAACAAGACACAAGGTGTCAAGAGAAGGGAAATAAGAGTCATTTGCATGCAGCCCTTCTACAGTTCTTCTCATCCTGGTTCGTCGTCATCCGCTGATCGTTTCATGAACAGAGTACTCGCTATTCAGCGCTACGACGTACGGTCGAAACTGAACGACTTGTCGCTAGACATAGCAGAGGCCAGGGAAAGGCACTGTCTAACATTGCCCATAACTTGCCCGCAGTAGTGATAAGCATCGGAGGAAAGGTATGCGCCACAGGCAAGTCTTCAGCAGAAAAAGGGTGGTGATGTTCTGCAATAATCTGCATTCGTAAGGTAACGATGAAAAGACCCGACGGACGGCGACGATTGAGTTATCCATATAGAGTATTGAAAAACAAGATGCTACACGATTAATAGTGATCGGTAAAAATTTGCAGAAAGAAAAGCGCAAGCATCAAGGGATACGGCCGAAAAATAAATTGGTGAACGAACTTTCCGTGCAGCACGTTTTCGAACTGTCGTTGAATTCAGTTATCGCAGCAATGAGGATAGTGAACGACAAGGACCTCTTGTCATCCGCACAGGGTTGATGAGGAATAAGCTTTGGAGGAAAACAAATAGAACTTGAAGTGCTTGTTCATGTTGCGTGAGATACTTGAACTAGGTGGCGACCTCGATCAAGAAGGCGAGGCCCCTGACGATGAGGAGTTGGACGCGGAACAAGGAATCGAGGCACCAAGAGACAGGCCTTCAGCCAGCCTACTGGCTTGCCTTTCGCCACTCCTAGACTGCTACTATGTGGACTAGAGTGCCCTGGTGTTGTAGTTCGTTCCGTTGGTTGTCAAGCACCTACTCGAAAGTCACCTACCTATTAGTTAGGTCTCTTATTATGTCTCTTATTATCTTTCTTAGCTATGTGTCTACTTTAGCATCTCTTACCGGATGACTGGCAATCTCCATTGTGAAAATGTAATGAATGTATACACACAATACATATATATGTGTGCCAATGCGTGTAAGTCAGTGTGTAAGGGTAATCCGTGTATAGGCAGTTGCCGCTGAGCAGGATTCCCATTCGGCTTAAGCTTGCTGAATCAAAGCGTGGTATAGCTCAGGAAGACCAACTAGCCAGGATTCTTACAGGGCGAAATTTGCATTTTAAGCGAGCACTAGTGTTGGCGAACGGCTTGAGTAGCTGTGCACACAGTCACCGTCCTACACTGATGGTATCTTAGTCTGTCTCCGATCTCGCTGCAGGGATGGGCTGTTCGTAGCCGCCTTGTGACAGCCACGTTAAACCCTCATTAGGTGTCACTTAAGCTGGATCAACCGCATCGAAAAGAGTTCTGACACAGAAGAGATCGCGAAGAGGAAACGCAAAGAATTGGCCTCGTCATCCTATTGCGGTCCGATAATTTCAACGGAGTCAGTCATAGTGGGTTACTCAGATATATTAAAAATATATAGCCAATGAGGTAACAGTAAACACTTGCAGAAATAATACGCTCTTTCCGTTTACTCAATGATCAGCACAGTACATCGGGAATTATTGTGCCAGAAAGACATATTTTCCCCGTCGCAGTATTAACATCAAAAGTAGCAGCATCGTTGTCAGTGCGTATTAGTGTCAATTGGTCATGCGTATTTGCTAGACCATAAGTTAGTATCAGTGCGCCACGACAAGAAAAGCGCTAGTGGTGTAGCTTGCCGTCGTTGTTCGCTGTATTTGTGTTATCTGAGTACCGGTACAGATAGACACACAAAGCAGGAGAGCAGTCGTATGAAACAACAGTGGCCTCGTTTCCCCTTCGGGGCTATACGTCCAGCCTGTCGCATTGTCCAATACGAAATTTGGCAACTCCTGTCATTGGGCACGCATTGACGCTTCAGAGAAGTCGGTGAGATTAGAGAGGAGAAAAGAGCTACTACCAACCGCCCAAAGACTATTTACGATTCAGTTTCTTGATGAAGCTGCATGCTTGCGAAGCTGTCAGATCGCCGCAGGGCTAAGGTCCGATTTCGTCAAAGACCACCACTCCACCACCAGAACTCTCCATTAGTCAAGATGGATAAGAGGGCAAGAACAGAACAACGTCTGGGACGGCCAACGCTTGGCCTGAACACAAAACGTAAGCCCTCTAGCAAAACACTGAGAAGGACAAAGCTTGCTCTGTGCGAAACGATGCGCATGAAGGGTGGGCTTATGCATACATACACATGCAGTTCGGCACGAATCGCAGAGCAGCAGCGGTTTCCTTGCAAATCATTTTGACGTTCATCATTAAACTGTGCGCTGGGGCACGAAACGTACATAACGCAAGCAAGCTGGATGCACGGAGACGTTGTACCCCATAATTTTTCAAACTTAAGCCGATGATGTTGTTGCAGTGATCTCTGTCTAACAAACTACTCGGAGTACAGAAGATAAGACAATGACCCCGATCTGTCCCTTGTCGCAAACTGGTGGCAAAGAACGATTGTCTTTCGCCGTGCGTTTATCACACTGAAGGACTGTAATCAGACGCGGTGACAACATTTAACAAAAGCAGCAGGAATAGGCGCATTTTGCTCCAGCTGTCGCTCGCATATGGGTGCTGACTTCAGTTTGCCCCATACCAGCCGCTGACACAAGCTTCGGGAACGACATGTAGGATTTGACCTTCTATAGGAAGAGGCATACGCATACAAAGAGAGTAAAATGCTGTAATTAACCCACCATGCCATGCACGAGCCGAGATACGCTTTGAGGGTCGACACTTGAGCTGTTCTTGTCGTCTGTCAACACTTGTTTTAGCTGAGTTCTGAGAGAGTTCAGTTGTATCGCTCGCGTGGGTGAAAAAACACGGATTCAGGCACTCAAATAGCAAGTTGAGAAGGAGAAATTAGAATCCTGATACTCTGCTCCTCGAAGACTGGTGCTGGTGTTGCACAAAACATACTGACATATCCCTAGCTGCATACTATTCTAATACTAGCTACGGTAGTTCAACATGTGGGACATCTAGTGTGGGAACATCTTGTGATGCCTAAATTTCCGTATAGGAGCACAGGCTAGCGACTATTCTTATATTCTCCCGCTGTAAATCCACAAGTCTTTGCTGTCAGGGAACGCCACGGCCCTATCTCTCAGTTTGAACTAAGCCACGCTGAGCAACTTTATGGTGAAATTCGAAAAATTATTGAAAAAAATCTGTTATTCATATCAGTTAATAACCCTTGACAAAATACACAATTTTTGTAGAGAGTTCAGTCACTTTCTGCTCAACGAATACATGAGAGTTAATCCCCTGATGACACTCTGACAATTAGTATTCCGCGAAGAATTTGAATTGTTGATGCAACTACCCTCTAAAACAGTCGAATTATCGGCTATCTAAAATCCAAAAAACACATTCAGATGGAAGTTTGTATCGGAGGAACTTATTAGTTCGTCTTGCAAAACTTGCTTCTATATTTTCCACATAGCAGTCGCTAGCAACTCGATATTCAGATAGAAAGAAGAGCCAGTCGGGACAAAAGCAAGTTTGTAGTTGAGTGAACATTAATGTACTACATCTCTTCTAGTATTAGCTTCAATTGTTTCCTATCTAAACCTATTCGTGCCGTAAATTCTACAGTTTTGTGTTTACTTTTCCGCTCATCTCTGTTTCGATATGTTTGTATCAAAACTGGCTGTATAGCAACACCTTTTTTTTACAAACAATTTCACTGGATGCATTCTGCTAATCTGAAGTTTCAAAACAGTTAAATGATAAAATTTCCTTGTTTAAGTATAGATACCTCAGATCGGTTCGCTTTATTATAGCGCACTGCTTAACGCAGCTGTTCCAGCATATGGGAGTGGGAAGGTGGATGAGAACGTTTAGTTTGATGCCTTTAGTCTGACATTACCACGTGAACATCCTGAACTCTTTCATAAAGAAGAGGGGAATGCGCAATCGTAAAGAGATATCATAGATTACGCTATTTGCCCGTACAAGGCTCAGCACAAGCTGGCCGCATGACTCCGCATAGCTGTACCGATAGCTATAGCAGACGCTGTATATGCGCATCTCTGCGCTCAGGGGGGCGAACATAGTGAGTGGGGCAATGTCGGTAATCCGCCACTCCTACCCTCTCTATTCTTCCTGCGCTATCGCATGTTTATCATAAAGATTTATTGTTCATTTGAGAACAATCTGTTCATTGCGTCCTGGTCAGAGCCGGCAGCAAAGGCGGTGGGAGGACGCTACTCCTAAACAGTAACTCGATAGCTTCTCGTCGTTCTCTTCCTTTAACAACAGCAAGACCAAGTCCTTCCAGGTTTTCCCTAATTGCTCCATATTTTCACCCTGGCTGTCTTGCACTCACTCGTGGAGTCCTGGACCCATAGACTCTTAGTGGAGACTCGTGGACACGTTGCTCGTTTCCCGTTGCCACTGGTTTGCTTCTTATTCGCTAGCTCCTTCGCAACGGGCAATGCTTATAGGAAAGTTGGTGCAGCTACCTCCAGTGATACTGCGTTTGCCGTATGGGCAAACGACGCAAAGGAGAAAGAACAAGCGTCAAATAAAATAATCGGTCGGTTAGTATTTCGGCCTCTCGCTCAACTAGACAGCACTTTCGTACTGACTAGGTACGAACAGCCGGAGCAGAGCAGTGCGTGCAATATGGAGCAGAACAACGGAGGAGTGCAGGTTCAAGAGAAAAATTAGTGACTAGGAGAGCTATTAAAGCAGGGACAGAAGGGCACGACATGCAGGCATCCACTTCGCTGGCCTAGGCACAGCTTTCCTTCACCACTACTGAAGGCTGATGCTACTGTGTACAAGGTTGCTGTTACTGCTGTTGCTACTTCAGCTTTGGCTTTTATACCCCTATTACAAATAGTAGTATAGTGCATGCACCGATAAAATCTGTAGCTGCTGTCTGTAAGGTTGTATTGGCCGGCTGCCTTCTTGGTTAAGCTAGCTAGCGATCGTAGGCGGTTCGCAGCACGCAGCTCGATTTTGCTCTCCTCACGTTCCGCGTGCATTGGCTCTCAACGGCTTTTAGCTAAGGTGCTATTTCAGTGTAAAAGAAACAATCTCCTTATGGCTATCACCACTTCTGCTGCTGCCCCCAGTGCTGAGGGTTTCCGTCGTAAGTCTGGGCTTGTACACTCTTAGCAACGGTAGTGGCTGCAGTACCAGTAATCGCTGGTCTCTCTTTGTAATGGTTGGTCGTTGTAGCGCAGGAAGTTGCCCTAGCATGTACGTATGTGCCTGACTGCATGCAACCATTTGCGTATATGTGTGTGTGTGTGTGTGACTATGTCAGAAGGTAGGTGCCAATGGCGTGCCTTTCTTGAGGCAGAAAGTAATCGGAAGCTTTTGTGTTGTTTCTCACTCCTGTCCTTTCCCAGTATCTCTCTCCCCTTCTGTGTTTGCTGCTACGGCCGCTATCGCCGTCACCTATCGCCGTCACACCTGCTGCTTTAGCTTCGAGAATTGAAGCTTCTTCTTTTCTCTGGAGCTACCGTAACGATAAGCGGACGATAGGCCCAGTTGCGCGGCCTGCGCTGCTGCAAACTAAATGATAGTATCAGTTGGTAATGTGAAGTGGTTGTACCTGTGCAAGCAGTAGGGACACGAACGTCTGTGTGCAAGTCTGGCGCCGGCGGCGCAACACTCCATGAGCAGCCTTGAGTAAAAAGAAAATGGGAAGCTATATAGGGTAACCGTGAGCAAGTCATAGCTTCTCTTTAAGGGGCTGGAGAAGAAGAGCCGCGCGGAATAAAGGGAATGAAAAGATGCTTAGGAAATTGTTCGGGGGGGGGGGGGGACAAGTTAATGAATGAAGAGTGCATCCTGTCGCTGTACAGGTCGCCAGAGCTGCAGTAACGTTACTTGTAGCCGTCGCGGAAAGGTATGTGAGCAAACGCGACGAATGAACAAACCAACAATCCTTTACACACCTCTGTGATTCCACTCGGACTGCAAGCCGTGCACGCGGTACGCCTCTTTGTCGATGCCAACTTGGAAATAAGGACAATGGGGTCGGCAAAGCCAGCAAAGCTATATAAAAGGGTTAGCTAATGTTCTCTTACTTATTTTTCCACTCGACTCTAGCGATCTTGCAAAATGTAGTTCACATGGTGCAGACAAGGGACACTTCTGAAGTTTTCACCTTGCATTTCATTTGTCCTCGACTCCTTCCCTAGAACTCCCTTTCTGGCTCTCTTTTGCAATGTTCCCACCGTATCGGCGTACAAATGGATGAATTTCATTATT